ACATAAGGGAGAAGAGGAGGCGAAGAGGAGAAACAAATGTGGATGAATTGGTGGGAGGGGAAGGAAGATGGGTATGGTTGGTGGGGGTAGGGGGTGGTGCAACACAGTGCAGTGTGGAGGGATGGGGGGTGGTAGATGAGAGGGGAAACATTCCCCTTGCCCACATTAAAGACATAAAAAAGAAAACAAACAGAAAAACATGTCTGACATAAAGAGGCTGGTTTCCGCGGCGACAGCACAATGGCTGCCTGTGGCTCTCGGGGCCCTCGCCGTCCCGTCTGGGGCCCGGCACCAGCGAAAGTCACCGCAGTCACAGGGCCCATCAGCGTGTGTGTGTGCGTGTGTGTGTGAAACATGGTGAATGTCATCACAGGCCCAGTGCTGTGGGAACCGTCATGAAAGGGACCCCACTCGGAAGCCACAAAAGCTCCTTTCTGCTTCTTCTCTTCGGCTTTTAGCCTCTTTATTTATCTTTGCAAAGGGGGAGCCAGATGAGGAGGGAGGACTCTCTCGCCCTCTCCCTGTTCTCTCTCTGTGTCTCTCGCTCTCTGATAGACGGCACGACCCGTAGCCGCAGCCATTTTGCCCTACTGACACCTTAAATCACGGCAGCTACTATTTCAGTCATTCGCTCTGGCTGCGTCTTGCTGCGTTCCTTTGGTAGTTTATTCACAGCTCATCTTAGCTCAATCAGATCATAAAAACACAATGGGTTTCTTTGGAGACACCCTGTGGGCACAAACCTGGCGTTCCCAGGAATGCCTCATATATTCAGGTTATTTGGAGTGAATTGTGAAGACAGCCAGACAGCAAGTGCATCAGGTCCCAGCATTCCTTCTGTGTCTGAAAGGCAGATAAATCCCTCATGGGTCCGGCCCAGAGAGTGCCAAGCCAGTCTGATGCCAGTTCCCATGCCAATCCATTCCTGATCCCTGCGACAGAGCAGCCAGCCACAGTCGGACTATTATAAAGGCCTCATACCAATACGGAATCAACTGATTTTGAGGGCATGTGTCAATAGCGCTTGCATGCAGCAGGGCACCATGCAGGGCCCCTTTGACCACATTTGGCCTTTCACAGACTCACTACAGGGCTTCAAGACAGTGAATAAATATTTAACTTGCTTGATGGTTTGATGGTATATTATCATTTTAAGGACCACCTTCAATTTAAATAACATATTTGCAAACATATTTGTTTTCTTGTTGTTTATTTTCTACTTTCTGAGAATAAGATGTTATATTATAATTATATTGTGAATGTGAAGGTGTCGTTTTTTTAGCTTGTTCTATTTGCAAGATTTACATTTTATTATTAATATTTTAACATAATAACACAGCACTCTTTTGATTTCCATACAGTTAATCAAATTTTCTAGAAAATCTGCATCGTTTCCAAATATTCACTTTTATTAGAAATTTTAAAAATGCATTAAAAAGACCCTCCTTCAGATTTATGATACATAGGATTTTACTTTCATGTCTCTTTTTTCAGCAGGTTTAGCTCCCTTTTTTTGTTTTTAAACTGGTGCATGTACATTACATTTTGACAAAAAAAATTTGTTGGTGTACTGTTAATGAAAGCAAACCATGCAGTGAGACGTATCAGTGATCAGTTATTTAGTTTCACTGAAAAATGCGGAGAAAAAAAGTCACAAACACAATACCCCGCTGAGCTTGTTCCATCTCACAGAGTTTCAAACAATAGCAGCAGTCATGCATCAGAAAGAATAATTGCAGCTGAGTGTTTGTGCCTTATAAATTGTGGGTATGTGCTGTCCACATTCGTGTCAGGGAGTTTCGTGTGTGCGCTAGCTTGTATGAATCAGTGCGTGTCCTCCCGCGCGTATGTGCGTGCGTGTCCTCATGTTCATATTTGAGTTGCGCATGTGTGCGTGTGTATGCAAATTGTAAAAGTATGAGCTTGTTAATTTCAATAAGGGACTTTGCCTTGTTGTGGTTTGGTGGGATGGGAGGGAGAGTACTTGAAGTGGCCGACCAAGATCGCCAGAAATCTCCCAGAATTCCATCCAACCATCCAGTGCCAGCTCTCGTCTCCCTCTTATGTTGGCTTTACCGTTCCTTCCCACACACCCCCACCATGAAACCATTTTCATAATTAATATATCTATTTAATCATTTATCTCCTTAATTACTTTCCATTTCTTTTCCCTTTTTTTCTTTTCTTGTAACTTGCCTCATCTCGGAACAGCTGGGCGGTGTGGCCGGCAAACCAGAGCGATCTCTCTCTCTTGTTTTTAAAGAGACGTGCGATACAAATGGGAAAGTAAACCTTTGAAGAGAAGTAAAGAGTGGGTGATAAAAATAGCAATACGGAACACTGAAGGCTGACTTCATAGATGTCTTTTCATCTTTCTTTCCCCCCAGTTTTCTGATGCTGAAATGAAATCCAGATCTGAATTAGAGAATGATTAGTAATGAAAGGATATGTGAACTGGGTAGTGGGGGTTGTTTGCTGGGAGAGAAAAGGGATTTCTCCACTCTGTTAGTCCTGACTCATATCCACCACACTGCGAGCCCCCTGGTGATGGTCACACTGATTACTCACACTTGGCTATTGCAAACACACTCACTTGCACATGTTTTAAGTTATTCCACTACTTTACACATGCGACATGACAAAAATGATTGTAGGAAAGGCTCAATTGTCGTCACGCTGAGCAAGATGAAGCTGAAAAGAACATAAAGACTACTGGAAATCCATTTAAAAGACGACCAAATTAAAGTTTTAAAAACGACTTCACTTGCCCAACTAGTATACACAAAGACCTCGCACTCATTCATTGTCGCAGCCTATGTTTAAACTAACACACCCTTCCAGTCTGCCAGGCAGGAAGAGACACCCTCAGCTGGGCATTGTGTGCAAGAGGGCATGCCACTTGGCCTCTCTCAGTCTTTCACATACACATATGCACACACTGCTGGGTCACTTAGGCATCGCTCCTAACAACCGGCGCCTGGGTCTCATGTTTCCATGGCAATCTGCACCAGCAATCTTCCCACGGTGGCAGAGGAAACAAGTGCCGCGAGTGAGCTCTGTGTGTGTGAGTGTATAGAGAGTGCTATCTTGTCCGGTGAAGAGCCCAGATGTTCAGACACTCAGTGGGGTGACTTCTCTCCTTGACCCTTCAGTACCTGCCCTCATCTCTGCACACACAGGCTGAATAAAAACGATTTGAATAAGCTGGGTTTATCTGTGCCTCACTTCTTATCTTGAAATACTTGAAGCTGTAATTTCAAAAAGATAGTGACAAATCTACATCTTGACATAGAATGCATATAAAAGATAGATGTATAATTAGTTGGATATTTAAATATATAAATGGTTACATATCCCAATATTTCTGGATAACTGTTTTAAAGCCTGTTTATGCTGTTCGACTGTTGCCAGAACCAATCATATTTAGATGAGAAAGTGGAATGCTGAGTCCTCAGATAGCGCTAGCAGCATCATTTGGCAAGATGGCATGTTTTTAGACCCACACATCTATATGTATAGTTTACATATACTGTATATAAATGATGGGCATAGCCTCTGGGTTCTGCAGTCTCTTTAATGGCCAGCAGGGGCAACTCTTTAAAAAGACTTCCAGTTACTCAATAATAGTTTCCTGGTAATTTTTGGGGTCCATTGCTAGTTTCAAGTCAGTGAAGGAAACATTATGTTTTTGGCATACATTACTGTCTTCATTAGAGTAAAAAAGGAAGATGGTACTCTGACCGTTGATTTCACAGTCAGATCTACCTAGTAACAGGATGGCAATACTAAAAAAAACTCAGCTAATGGGACACTAACTGATAGCTGATATCACAGTGGTTATGTCTATCTTTTTATACAGTCTATGGTGGATTTCCAAATTGAAAAAAAAAATCACTCACTCACTCTCTGAAATTTACAGCTTGTTACCAAAACCCTTTCCCACCAGATCCTTTCTGTAGCCTACTATTGCCTATTTTTATCGTTTCATAGCAATTTTTCATAAACGTCAACTATGAGTGTTAACTGATAGCTGAGCTGTGTGGTCAGTTCTGGCTCCATAAAACAACCACAAAGCAATATGTCCATCTCTTCTACACAGTGATATGCTTTCTTTTAAAGTTTTCTAAAACTTTGTTGACATTATTTGTCGCACTGGAGATTGATGCTTGATAAAAGTGTTATTTTCAAAGGTGAACATAAATTATTGGCATTGCTTGTAAATCCCTGTACTATACTCTTGTAATGATTTAGGTACTTTAAATGTCACCTTTTAAAACAAGAGCAAAAAACAGCCAACACTGTTAGTTAAACTGCCGACACGGCTTAATTATTCCCATAAAATCTTTCTATACAAGTATAAAACTTTTCTATTTGTATCATTTATGGAGCTCGAAGGTCGGCGCTGGCTGCGTTTCATCTCTGCAGGCGTGTTTTCACTCTGTGCCGTTTCTCTCTCACAACACAAAATTGCTCAAGAACTCGAGTCAAAAGTGACTCGTGAGACTGTGCAAGTATCAGATGTTGTGCATCGCCTCTGTATGATGGAGTGCTTTCACAGTTCATAATTCCCACACTCCTCACCTCGCTCTCCCTCCTGTTGCCATTGTTCTATGGAACAGCATAATTAAAGGAGCAGAATGAGAAAGAAAGCAGGACAGAAGGAAGGAAGGAAGGAAAGCAGGATGAAATTGGAGGCTAATTGACAGAGGATGATTGAGCAAAGGGGTGGAAAGATGAGGCCGAGGGGGGTGCGGGAGAGAGGGAAGGAGGGTGAAAAGCCAGAGAAGGGCAGATTAAAGGGAGAGAGGAGGGACACGGAAAGGAGGCGGGGGAGCCAAAACTGGCAACCCTGCCCAAACTGCCAAAGTCCTGTTTTGTCATTGGGTGGCTGTGACAGAGCGAGCGAGCCAAGAGAGAAATAACAGTGAAAGAGAGAGAGAGACTATGATTGGATGCCAGTGATAGAGTACAAGACTAAAGCAGCTTGTGAATTTTCTTAGTTGTCATGGGCCCTTGGGGGTTGATCAAGTGGCACCACTGACTCACAGAGAGAGAGAGAAAAAAAGAAGACGCATGAAGAACCGACGACAGCGAAAACAACAAACACGAGTGACAAGAAGTAACTAAGGACAACAGAGCTCTTATAAGTAACCGTGCAAGAGAAGCAGAGAGTGACGGGCACGCAGGGTGAGTGCTTCATCCAGAGGGAGACTTCCTAAAGAGGCAGAGGCAGGAACCAACGAGATCATCCAGCCAGACCTGTCAGTCTCCTCGTCCTTCTGTCATCAGTCGTCATCGCTCCAGCCAGTGAGGAAGGGGCAGAGAAATGAAGAGACCTCACGATTACAGCTCTCCGGACTCGGACACCGACGAGTTCATTGACGTGGGCCAAGAAGATAGCTACTGGTGAGCCTCCTTCAGTCACACCTGAGATTGTAACACGTTCCCTCCAGTCATGTTTGAAAAGAAAATTACATGGCGCGCGGCTGTATTTAGCAGACAAAGTTAAAGGCAAATTTGCCCCGAGCATGTTTTCCAGTCTGCTGCGCAGTAACGAGTTTAAAAGACTGTGGGAAAAGTTTGAGGTCCCACAAGGTTGTGTTTATAAAGCAATTACAGCAAAATAGAACTTCTTATTATTTACAGATTCCTGCATTCAGGTACAAAGTTTTTTATTTTTATTTATTTTTTAAGTCTTGACACGGTTTAATTTGCATATTATAAATCTTTAAGCAAATTTAAAAACCACGTCAGTGATGTCAGTGTAAAAACTGACGTGTCAACAAAGTTTGAGGCTCAAATCAGCAAATTTCTCTTGTTCAGAAAAGCAGATTTATTATAGATTTATGTTAGATAGATAGGTAAGATATACAGTGTTCACTTTCTGTGTAAAACAGAAGCTTTACAGCAGTTGTTGCACATGTAAGTGTAGGGGTTAGTCGAAAAAGCTGCGTGCATGACCATCCATGTAAAACAAAAAAGGCCTGTCAACGCTGAAGTGTCAACACAGGAGATGAAAACATGAGCAGGAAGTCATTCACTCAGGAATATTCATTTATATATGTATGTATATGTATAAAAAATCAATTGATTTGAACCACAATGAGTGATTATAGTATTATGTCTTAAAATGAAATGTCTGCAGTTGATGTAGAAAATTTCTTCACATGAGAAACACAAGTGAAAGCTCATGAGTTGGTTTTAATAAACAACTCTAAAATAGTTTTAATATTTTACGTCACATTAAATATGAAAAAAGTGCATTTTCCCACATGAGTTTAGTGTTATTATTCCATGCAAACAGTGTGTTATTTAATTAGCAACTTTATGAAAGATCTCCTCGTCTATGTCAGACACACATTTTTGCTGCATTTCCAAGACTGCATTTTCAGGCATAGACAAACTGCTTTTTCACAAACAAATGAGTTTTTCTCAGCTTTTATTATAAAGTTATAATCCCAACACTGAAATCTTGCTTTTGCACTGGAAAAATCCGATAAAAAATGTGAACTACACAGTTAAAACGGCTGGTTAAACGCCAAAATACTTCTGGAAGAGGAAAAAAAATCTTCTAACCTTTGAATGCAAACGCGGCCTGCAGTGCCAAGGTGATTAAGTGCAGTCCACTGCATGTAACTTGTTCCATTGTTGTGGAAAATGCCCGATAAACAGTAAAATTACTCTGAACGCTGCACACTCTATTTTAAAGTCATTAAAGCGTTTTGCTTCTTAGATAAATTTGTCAAATTCCTTGACTTAGCATTAAAAGACATTTGGATTCAAAGCGCCAGTCATTAAAGTGTATTTGTAACAGTATACAAAAACTCATTCCCAGCAGTGCTGCTTACATCACAGGCGCTGAGCGAGCCAGTAACGCTAAAGACGGTTTAGATAAATTAAATTGCCATGTGACATGCAAACAGAAGACAGCGCTGCTTTTTCAAGTCAACCCCATCAAAGATTAACCTAAACAAAAACACACAGCTAAACTGGCAGCCCTCATGTTAAAATCTAATAGAAATAAGTCTCTAGCGGGGCAGTTTGGAGGGAACTGTGAGGCTCGGAGTCTCTTTCAGGCCTGTAAGATGAGAGTTCACAAACAAACACAATCCATATTGGATGACTGTACTCGGAGGAGCTCATGCTCCCATTGCAGCGTGCTGGAGCCCCATGTGAGCGCAAGCATCGCCTCGAGGCTATATAATCATCTTTTCTAAAAGTGCTTTTGCTCAGACGGAAAGGAGAACAGCATGTCATTTCACTGAGACTAATGTCCAGAAATGCATTAAAGTGAAAACAATCTCATCTTCCCTCCTCTCCCGGGCACTGCTCTTCTTTTCTGTGCCCAAAAAACAAATTAGATTGAAGGGAGTTGGTGTGCCATCCTGCCTCTGTGTCATATTAAGGAGGGTAATAATAACAATATGCAGGAAAATCAAATGATTTTTTTTTCTTTCTCCCTCTGTGTCCCTTCTTACTCATCTCGCTCTCTTGCTTCAACGCTATCTTCGCGGTACAGCCCAGTCACTGGGTCCATGTCTCCAGGCAGCGCCTCGCAGATTCTGGCTCGAAAGAAGAGAAGAGGGGTGAGTGGATTAGGTCATTGGATGTTAGTCGGTTCTGTCTCTTTTTCAGTTGAGTCTGCAACTCAGTTTGCTTTTTTTTTCTTATGCAGATCATAGAGAAGAGGCGCAGAGACCGCATCAACCACAGCTTGTCAGAGCTCCGTAGACTGGTGCCCAGCGCTTTTGAAAAACAGGTAAGGAATGAATTTGAGATGATGATATGTTTTTGTCATAGTTAGACAATAAAACTAAAAGACTAAGCAGCTTTCTGTCATCGTGCCACTGATCAGAATGTTGCTAATTTTCACTGCAGGGTTCATCAAAGTTAGAGAAAGCAGAGATTCTACAGATGACAGTGGACCACCTCAAACTGCTGCATGCCATGGGAGGAAAAGGTGACAATTTGGACTCTTGCTTGCTGCCCTATTCGGATTCTCCCAAACAGCCGTTCCACATAAAGCAGTGATTCATAATTATTTATTATCCTCCTCTTTAGAAAAGAGATTTTTACTGCCTCCCCCTGCATTTATTCAGCAAAGACTAAACTGAACTGTTTTTCCACCTCAGGATACTTTGATGCGAGGGCTCTGGCAGTCGACTACAGGACCCTGGGCTTCAGGGAATGCGTTGGAGAGGTGGTACGGTACCTCAGCTCACTTGAGGGGGACTCCCCAGACCCTATAGGAGCTCGTCTGGTCTCCCACCTCTCTCACTGCGCGAGTGAGCTAGACCCTCTTCTCCTGCAGTCACCCCCAACTTCCGCCCTGCCCTTCGCTCCTTGGCCATGGGCATCCTTCCCTCAAATCTCCCCTAACTCCCCAGCCTCCTCCTCCCCTCCTTTCCCCAGTGGGCGAAGGGATCTGGCCCTGCTAGGGAGCTACCCATCGCCCGCCTCCCTACGCCTCACCCCCCTGGCCGGGTGCCAGCAGGGTGCACCACAGCTCCTTGCACCTACAGCTCTTGCCACCGTCCACAGGGTGCCCTCCCTCGCAGCGTCTCCAGTCCTAGCCCCCTCCAGACCGCCACAGCCGTCTCCTCACAGCTCCAGCAGGGCCTCACCTCTACCTCTCTCAACCCCTTCCTCTTCCTCTCCTTCAACCTCCTCCTCTTCCACTTCCTCATCCTCCGCCCCTCCACAAGTCTCTTTCAGGCCCTTTGCACCTATGGGGTCTCCCACAGTCCAGCGCAGGGGCTTGAGCGGATCAGCCAAGGCGGCCCAAGGATGGGGGACTGAGATCGGTGCTTTTTGAGGGTCAGCTCTTTATTTGAGCGGACATGGACCTCCCATGTGCTCTATGTAGCAAATATTGGTTCCTTTGGAGAAAGAAGTATTCAACCTTTGATGATTGTTTCTGCTTCTAAAAAGCCATATCCGGTGATGGGTAAAGTTTCAGACGATCACAATCATATGTTACGGAACAAAGAGGGAATGTGAATGAGTAGCTCTGAATAAAGTCGTATTGTTGATTTTGCTTGACAAATACACACAAAGAAGAGTGTCCACCAGAGCCATAATCACAGTAAAACACTCAACAGAGAGTGCGGTTGAGATTTTACTGATCCCAGAACTGTGATGTTTCTGTTTTTCCAAAACATTTATACTTTTGATCATGCTTTCTGAATGTTTGACAAAATTTCTATAAAGACCAAGTGCCTTTATCTCTTTGCTCAAGTTTTCTGTGTTTTTCTCCGATTATATCAGTAAACGCAAACATGTAACTGCAGATATGCCATCTGCTATCAATACAAATGGGAAAGGAATGGTTTAAAAAAAGAAAAGAAAAAAGACTGCATGTTAGGCGTTTATCCGTATATTAACTATGCCTGCAAACACTGCCTGCATGTTCCCCAGCCATAACCCACTTGGTATCTGAGCTGTTTCCAGTGACGGCTGATGGGAGCTGTGGTCTTGTGGCTGCAGAGGATAAACATGGTGGGAGATGGTGATGTTTTTGGGATGCCGCGGCGAGGCAAACAGGCCCATCACTTTGCCCTCTAATTGGCGGTCCCCTGTAATTAACTTTACCCTCGTATCAGTCTATGTATCTTCCTCTCCTCTGCTGTCTCTCTGCCATTCTTTCTCTCCAATCTTGCGGTACACCAGCGGATATCTTCTCTCCCTGTTTGTCTGCGCCACTGTCTCCTCAACAATGGAGAGACAGAAAAGACGAGGGCGAAAAGGGAGGGATGGAGAGAGAGGAGAGACAGACTGAGAGAGGGGAAAACAAAAGGAAAAGATCTGAAGGGCTGTGGTTGAGTGACTGATTTGGTGTAGACGTTCAATAACAGGGTGGGAGGGAGGCAGGAGACAGGGTTACGGGGACTGCGAGGGTTTAAAAGGACAGGAAAAGAAGCAGTGTGAATCACAGAGAGTGGGCCAACGTGTACGGGGTGCACGAGAAGCACCTGAAAGCTGATGAATGACACTTGCAACAAGCTTGTTTCTCAAAAACATCAGCATAATTGTGCCATGCTTCACCAAAACTGCTCTGCGGGGATGAGAGGGCAGAGAAGAGCCTTGTGTGTGTTTACTGCTGGGGAACGCTTTGATCTACTTCAGGATGCAATGTCTGTGGTCTGTGGTCCAAAAATGTGTGTGTTCCGCAAAGTGCATATTGTTTATTTGAGTGAGTGTGCTTTTGTGGGCTTGAGCCAGTCTCTTGCGCTTTCTTCTATGTGTGTGTGTGTGTGCTTTGTTGAGTGTTTTGTTTATGCAGTGTGCATGGTCGTGTGTGTGTATGTGTTTGTGTAATGTGAGTATTCAGGGCTGGCGTCAGGACTGAACCGCGGTGACGGCGTGGCTCTCGTGCGATGCCGGCCGGCGGTCGGACCGACGGACAGTGTGGTGGTGGAATGTTTGTGGAGGGTGTACGCACACACATACACATAAACACACACAGATACGCACTCAGGCATACAGACAACACACAACACAGACACACATAGGCTGGCTGGCACTATTCTAGCCCCTGCGTGGAGGAGCCAGAGTCACCACCACAGCTTCCAGGAAGGACAACCACAGTCACACTGTGCTGGGTTTCCCACGGGGGAGGGGAGAGAGTGAGGGTGGAGGGATGTGCAAGGAAGGAGGGAAGGAAACTTTGGAGAAAGAAGGAGGAAAATGCTGTGTGTATGTGAGTGTGCATGTAGGGCAACAGGACACGGTGCAAACTCAGTGAAGAAAAGAGGAGGGTTCAGCAAGCAGGAAGGATGGCCGAAACAAATCAGAGAGAGAACAAAGTAAACTCAGCCACATCAATGCATCACAGCTGATTTTTTTTAATTACATGTCTATAGATATAATTTTCCGAGAATAGGAACATGGTTCATTTTTTGTTTGTCTGTGCCATAGACAGGGGAGTAAAAGCCAGTCTTTCTAATGGCCAGCCTGCAGATGACATGCATGCATCACTATTGATTTTTTAAATTTTTATATAATTTTATATATATATATAACTAAATATGTGTGGCTAACATTAGCTTAGGCGACCCCAGCCCATTGTTACTTCTTAAGGATTTTGTGGGGCAGCTGTTGCACTCATTGAAATCAAATAAATCTGATTATCATGAACTCCAAGTGATAAATTCCTCCTGTCTCAACCCACATCTAATTTATCTGGGGTGAATAACTGCCTGTCAGCTAATGACGGACAAATACTATAAACAAAAGGCCCCAGAAACTCAACTTTCAATTTATCTAATGAACAGAAAATGAAAAAGCCATCAGTTCTTTATTTTTGGAAGGAAAATCAAACTGACAAGCGGACCGACTACAAACCAGCTGATAATGTAATAGCCATGTCCATCCTTACTATACAGTTTTTTTCCAGGCTAACCCTAACCCTCAAACCACTGCACCACCGTACTGTTCTCAGGCCCATGTTTTAAAGGTTTAAAGAAGCATTCAGATCCCCAGACGCTGTATAACACTATTACCCAATAGGGTTTACTTATTAGATAATGGTAGTGCCAGCATATAAATCTAACGTAAAAAGATCACTGAAAATTAAAGTGATTAGCACATCCACTGGCAAGTAAATGTCTATACTGAACACAGTATGAGCACCAGTGGTTTATGCAGTTAATTTAGTGACCTCTGCTGTCAAAACTACAAAGGTGCCAAAGCAAAGGAAGAACATGTAGGGACAAAGATTCATTTCCTTCTATCAAAATGTAATAAAACAAATAAACTGCACAATGCAAAAATTGATCATTTATAAACATATAACAACAAACATTTGTAAACAGTTAAAATTCATTAAAACAATGTTCACCCAGAATTGCCACCTTGCACGTATATTCTCTGTTCACGTCACTGTTTGTTCAGGATAGTGGACATTATATTTGTTGCATGAACTTTAAAACCACAATTTTAGCTGATTTTATGTGAACATAGTGCTGTAGCCCCGACAGCAGTTTCCAGTACACCTGTTACTGCAAAGTGGTTGAACTCCTGATGTTTAGAAGAAAGTCCTCCAAATTTAAAACAAGACGGGTACATTTACTAGAACAGAGAGAAATGTGCGTATCTGGGAGTATTTGACTGTTAACACTGTTAACGCTGAGTCCCGTCTGGACTACAAATTTTCTCTTGAGATGTTAGGATGCCAGTAAACATGTTCTTTCTTCGTCCATGGTGTAAAGTATTCACTTGAGGTTACAAACATCTGCCACAAGGTGGAAGCATTGCAAAGAGGAGTGGTTATTCTTTACAAATTTCGCCAACTGCATCTTGGTCTATGGTTTGTGTCATGTTTATTTAAGCTGGAGGTGGGCTTGCTCTGCAATTATCAGGCAATATTTTAAAGAGGCCGGTGTATATGTTTATGTAGCTGTTGGTGTTAGAGAGCATGTGGCTAGAGACTGCCATGTCCTCACATGTGTAGAGATATCCCATTATGATTTGGTGGTCTGGGCTTGGCATTAATTTGCTTTGTTTCTCCTTTGTTTTCTCGTTTCTTTTGTAGCCAGAGCCACTGCCAAATGCCCTGTACATATTTTCCATAGTATGTTTTTGCTTTTTTCTCCTTTCTGAATGTTCTCTGTATGTCATTAAACTGCTGTAAGAACCCCTTTTATTGTGTCTTGTGTGGCAACTAATTACCCGGGCAGAAGTTTTGGGAGCTTGTTGGGGCTGGAGCATGTACATGTGTGTTAATGCAAAACCATAATCCTCCCAGGAGCAGAGATTCCAGCAAATTCGCCCTAAACACAGAACGTGCAATCCTTTGAGAAAACCCAAACAAAACATAAAACCCAAGAGTTCATTTTTAGATTGCAAAGGCCTCAGTTAACATTTTAAATGTTAAAGTTCATGTCAGCACAATCACAAAAAACTGAACAAGTGGCTTGTTTGGAAAGTTTACAAAGAAAAACTCTCATCTGACTAAAAAGAACATAGCAGCACATTTTAGGTTAGGTTAGCTGTGTTGCATCTAAACAAACAAAAATTTCTGGAACATTTTCCTTTTGGTCAGATGAGACTAAAGTGGACATATTTGTTTAATAAACATGTCAGACAGACAGCTCATGTTTGAAATGATTTATTTAGGTTCCACAAAAATCCCACTGAGAGCTGTGAAGTCTTTCACACATGTTACAAGTAGATCCCTGAGTCTATGGGCAGTTTTTAAGGGAGAAACCCGACACAACATTGGTGACTTTGATGACTTTGGGAGGAGCAGGGATGGTGATGACACGCTTCAGGTAGCAGCGACGCCTACAGTACAAAAATCCAACAGTTTAAATTAGAGACTGGAGATATAGTTGTCATCAGATTACAAAAAGTGTGAATACAACAGATTAATAAATGTGACGTGGTTTCTGGGTGCGACGTGAATTACTAGTTTAAAGTGTGCACAGAAGTATTCGTAATACTTCACCGATAACTGCGATCAAAGAAGGTTTCATCAGCGTAGGTGTAGAACTGGCAGTGAGGGTCCTCAGTGCATGTCTTCTGGCATGTGTCTGCATCATCCATCAGCTCATAGCGAATGTCAGAACCTCTGAAATCTACTCCTTCATAAGCCACTCTGGCCCAGTCTGTTAGCAGAAACACATGTCACTGTGCTGAAGGGATGGACACATAAAATATTCCTGTGCATAATTACAGTGTCTTTAACAATATTACCTTTACAGAACAAAGCCCAAAAGATGATTGTCTCACATCCACATGTTGTATTAGAGGAAAATGACATAGATTTGGTTTGTCATCATGTCTGAAATACTAATTTTTACATTAACCCTCTCGAGGCAGGCGTTGCCGATTTGCAACAGTTAAAAACTAACAACCCGATTACCCCACATACATATTTTTGTTTGTTTTTTTACTCAGAAGTACCACTGCAGGACGTGGTTGTGCATTAGCAACTAAAACTTAATTTGAGCCTGAGAGGGTTAAAAGTTATTTTCAACTTTTTCTCCCTAGGTTATGACAAATTGATATCTGTAACTCTACACTGCTCAAAAATGAAGCTAAAGAAACACTTTCAAAACAAATCAGATTTCAGTGATGTCAGATCTATACTTGTATGACCTCAAAATCCTCCTTAGTAGTTTGTTTGGCCCTTAGACGTGCATGCCTAAGCCTGTTCTGAAGTGGCCTAACCACATCAGGGCATGCATGTCTAATCATACTTATGAGACAGTCGATGGTGTCCTGGGGGATCTCCTCCAGGATCTGGACCAGTGCAACCTGACAATGTGGGACTGAACCATAATGCCCTAGAGGTGGGGGAATCAACTACTTCATCCTCCAGGAACTGCCTGATTGAGTGTTTCTTAAGGTGGGCCCAAAGTTCCAGGTTCCAATAAATTGAACATTTATGTAACAGTGTTATAATTCAGTATTCACCCACATTTATTTGTCTACTTTTTAAATTTGTTTGATGATCTAAAACATGTAAGACTGTGAAATATTCAGAAAAATGAGAAATCAGGTAGGGGCCAAATACTTTTCACAACACTGTATGCTGTTCAGTAACTGTTCGCTCACAAACACGTTCATGCGGAGCATTACAGGTTGATTTGCGCTACTCACTGTCGTCAAGCTGACAGGAACGGTGTGGTAGCCCTGAAGTGCCTGTATCTGCCCTGGTGACTATTTCATGTGTGTTTTCCTTCAGGTAACAAACAAAGGTATTTCTAAAAAACAAACAAATAAAATCAAAAAGCCTTAAAATCAAAATGTGTAAGAGGGTCTAAATGTTTGCATATAATGTAGAGCTGTAGAGCTATAATTCTGCACTTAAGTACAGTTTTATTACACTGCCCGTTAGACATGAAAGAAAAAGAAAAACAGATAAGATATTTGTTTCACTCTCAGATGAGACGTTGTCTGAAACACAAACAACTACCTGTTATAAGTGAAGTAGGTGCAGCGCGGATGAGTTGAGCACAGAGTCTGACAGTGTTCAGGAGAGGCAGCAGGCAGCGACTCAATGTCACTTCCTGGGATGTCAGTGTTTGGAAAAAGCTTTCTCTGACATACTGAATATAAAAGAGGAAAGACATTTGTTTTGTTTGATATGCTTTTATATTCCCATGTGAAGCACTTTGTAATAGATTCTAGTCTTAAAAGGCCCATATAAATACATTTTACTTACTTACAATAGGAAAACACACAGGCAACAAACAGGAAGTGGGCCGAAAGCTACAACTAGGTCTATGTACCTTTGTCAAAGTGCTGAGTTTGGTTTGTTTTTTGGGAGAATCCAGATGTTACACCAGCTTTTCTTTCAATAACAGGAGTCCTTGGTACAGTCCAACTGAATTTTAGGTGACACTTATACCTTAAACAGAACAAGAAATCATATTCTCCTTTGATGTTAGAGTGCGAAATATCATGGACAAACATGGACATGCAGTTTAAAAAAACAGGATGTGACACAAGACTGCAATAAGATGAACTTTGGGAAATGCAGAGGTGTAGGACAAATCTTTTGTGGTTAAACAATAAATAAATATGGAAACATGTTTAAAATAAATACACTATCCTAACTCAAATTTACCTGACTTTACTATTTGAGAAATTCTGTTTTACAAAAGCGAAGAACTGACACGCAGGGTCCTGAGTGCACACTCGCTGGCACTCCTTGTGGTCACCTGTGAACAAGGACCTGTAGTCTCCCCCGATAAAGTCCATGTTTTGGTACAGCTCAGACAGGCAAGGTTCTGTTTCAAACAATAGAAACATGCATAAAGAAAGGTAAACTGGAGGTGAACATACTTCATGAATTGCTTAATTTTTAAAATGGTTTATTAATGGTTGTAAACCTACGTGGGCCTGGGCTGCAGGATTTTAGAGAAAACCCAGAAGTGACACCCTGTACTGGAGTCTGAGCACTGGGCTCTCCCGAGGGAGTGGACTTTAGGTAGCAGTAGAAGTGCCTGCAGAGACCGACAAGTAGAAGGAGCCATAGTACAACCAATATAACACATATATAACAGATCCTGAAATAACATGACATACTGTGCTTCCTATAGCTGGATATGGGTCTTTAGACTTTTGGCTGAACTCTGTGAAATCTTAAGTTGCCATCAGTGAGAGGCAGTAACCATGGGTGAGTATACTGGTATACAGTGTGGGACAGCTCTGTAACATCTCGTGGAAGTTGGGGAGAGTGCCTCTGGATTGGCAGACTGGAGGGATGGTGTGTTCAAACCTCAAGGGGATCTAACTCCTCACTCAAAAAAGTATATGCCATGGAACTGGAGAGCACAGTCTGATGAATTTTGTGGTGAAAGAGAAACAAGCACAAAGGTGATTTTGATTTTTGTCAATCTAACTTCTCACTCTCACCCAGGACCAGGAGTAGATCACAGATACAAGAAGCAGAAATTAGTTCAGCTCAACTTTAGAGATACGGTGCAGAGAAAGGTCATTTGGAAGGAACTCATCGCCTTGTTTGGGAACACTTTGGTGGTGTTGCTTAGACTGCTGCACCTTACAACCTGCCACTGCAAGATGGACCTGGATAAGTACGTGTATATATTGCAACTCATTTGTGCCAGTCATACCTGTCATCGTGGGTCCATTCAGCACGAATAAAGGTAAAGAAGAGGCAAGAGGGGTGCTGGGTGCACAGGAGCTGACAGTGGTTAACATCAGGGGAGTAGAGAAATGTTATGTCATTTCCCGGGAAATCCATGTTCAACAGAATATTTGGATTACATGCTGAAGAACAGAAAAGGGAAATATTTAATGAAACTCATCAAACACGACTACATTTAACAAAAAGGCTGTGCAAATAGAAAATGGTCCTTTGAGCCATCCAAAGGGCAATTTTGCAATTGGATCTATTTGCACAGCCAATCTCTGGCACAGTCAATAACCTGCCCTACAACTAGAGTTTAGATAATTTTATGTTGGCATTTACCAAAGTGAAAATTTATCATGTGCTTTGATTATTGTGTCTAGCTTTGGTTGTTGCCATATTCCATAAATGAAGCTGGCCTCCCATGTGTACAGGCTGATTTTGGGTTCATACTGAAAAACAACGTGTATGAATGTTTAAGTAGCAAACTGCAGAATTTAGTTTATTGCTCTTTACTTTCAGACACTGACTTTTCCAAATGCAGAGAACAAACAACACACAAACTGAAATGCAATCACAGATACTAACAGGATCAGTGCCCGATGAATGAAGCGAATCCATCAGCAGAGGGCAGTGATGTTGTACTCTTATCATTATATAATCCTGTTGAAAGATACAAAGGACTCCAACTGTAGAAAGACAGACTGGTGTTATGTCTGGAGATTCCCACACAAAGAAATGTTAACATAGGTGGTTAATGTCATAGTCCTGCCCGCAAGAAACCTTGCATGTTTTGCTGTTATGTGTCTTGCACAGTTTAAGGTTTTTCTGCCTTTTTGTGTCAGAATTTAAACATCTTTATGTTTGATAACAGTTGATAACATTATCAGAAAGGAAACACTCAGGAAACAATGACATACAAGAGTATAACAGAATAACCAACAAAGCACTAAAATGAATGTAAAAGAGTTTTGACTCAGTAGCTTGGAGCACCACAGTCTCACCGCCTTTCCTATTTCTCAGTTTGCAC